GGCAAATAATGTCAGAGTGCAGGAAAGCACAAAATGACCAGGAGGAGAGGTGGTGGGCTGAAGAGAGTAAGTGGTGCGCTGAAGACAGGGCCAAAGCTCAAATGTGGCGGCAGCGTGATGAGAGGAGGCAGGATTCAATGCTGAGGCTGCTGGAGGATCAAACCAGTATGCTCCAGTGTATGGTTGAGCTGCAGCAAAGGCAGCTGGAGCACAGACTGCCACTGCAGTCCCTGTGTAACCAACCGCCCTCCTCCCCAAGTTCCATAGCCTCCACACCCAGATGCCCAAGAACGTGGTGGGGGGGCCTCCGGCCAACCAGCCACTCCGACACAGAGGATTGCCCAAAAAACAGAAGGCTGGCATTCAATAAATTTTAAAGTTGTAAACTTTTAAAGTGCTGTGTGGCATTTTCCTTCCCTCCTCCATCACCCCTCCTGGGCTACCTTGGTAGTCATCCCCCTATTTGTGTGATGAATGAATAAAGAATGCATGAATGTGAAGCAACAATGACTTTATTGCCTCTGCAAGCGGTGATCGAAGGGAGGAGGGGAGGATGGTTAGCTTACAGTGAAGTAGAGTGAACCAAGGGGCGGGGAGTTTTATCAAGGAGAAACAAACCGAACTTTCACACCGTAGCCTGGCCAATCATGAAACTGGTTTTCAAAGCTTCTCTGATGCATACCGCGCCCTCCTGTGCTCTTCTAACCGCCCTGGTGTCTGGCTGCGCGTAACCAGCAGCCAGGCGATTTGCCTCAACCTCCCACCCCGCCATAAATGTCTCCCCCTTACTCTCACAGATATTGTGGAGCGCACAGCAAGCAGTAATAACAGTGGGAATATTGGTTTCGCTGAGGTCTAAGCAAGTCAGTAAACTGCACCAGCGCGCCTTTAAACGTCCAAATGCACATTCTACCACCATTCTGCACTTGCTCAGCCTGTAGTTGAACAGCTCCTGACTACTGTCCAGGCTGCCTGTGTACGGCTTCATGAGCCATGGCATTAAGGGGTAGGCTGGGTCCCCAAGGATAACTATAGGCATTTCAACATCCCCAACGGTTATTTTCTGGTCTGGGAATAAAGTCCCTTCCTGCAGCTTTTGAAACAGACCAGAGTTCCTGAAGGTGCGAGCGTCATGTACCTTTCCCGGCCATCCCACGTTGATGTTCGTGAAACGTCCCTTGTGATCCACCAGAGCTTGCAGCACTATTGAAAAGTACCCCTTGCAGTTTATGTACTCGCCGGCTTGGTGCTCCGGTGCCAAGATAGGGATATGGGTTCCGTCTATGGCCCCACCACAGTTAGGGAGTCCCCTTGCAGCAAAGCCATCCACTATGACCTGCACATTTCCCAGGGTCACTACCCTTGATATCAGCAGATCTTTGATTGCGTGGGCTACTTGCATCACAACAGCCCCAACAGTAGATTTGCCCACTCCAAATTGATTCCCAACTGACCGGTAGCTGTCTGGCATTGCAAGCTTCCACAGGGCTATCGCCACTCGCTTCTCAACTGTGAGGGCTGCTCTCATCTTGGTATTCATGTGCTTCAGGGCAGGGGAAAGCAAGTCACAAAGTTCCATGAAAGTGTCCTTACGCATGCAAAAGTTTCGCAGCCACTGGGAATCGTCCCAGACCCGCAACACTATGCAGTCCCACCAGTCCGTGCTTGTTTCCCGAGCCCAGAATCGGCGTTCCACAGCATGAACCTGCCCCATTAGCACCATGATGCATGCATTGCCAGGGCCCATGCTTTCAGAGAAATCTGTGTCCATGTCCTGATCACTCACGTGACCGCGCTAACGTCGCCTCCTCGCCCGGTATCGCTCTGCCAGGTTCTGGTGCTGCATATACTGCTGGATAATGCGTGTGGTGTTTAATGTGCTCCTAATTGCCTAAGTGAGCTGAGCGGCCTCCATGCTTGCTGTGGTATGGTGTCCGCACAGAAAAAAGGCGCGGAATGATTGTCTGCCGTTGCTCTGATGGAGGAAGGGACGACTGACGACATGGCTTACAGGGTTGGCTTACAGGGAATTAAAATCAACAAAGGCGGTGGCTTTACATCAATGAGTATTTCAGGCAGGACTTCACGGAGGGTTCCAATAAGAAATGGTGCACCTAAGTAATTGTTCTTATTGGAACAAGCAGGTTGGTCTGGCCTCTGATTGATACATGCCTAGATTTACCTCGCTGCACCTTCTCTGTGAGTGACTGCAGTGTGACCTAGAGGAATGAGTCCCCTAGACGGCGGAGGGGGGGAAGCAAATGAGAACAAAACAAATCTGGTCTATTTCTTGTTTTGATCCACTCCATCTTTCTTCTACATCTTTGGCTGGCAGCAGACGGTGCAGAAGGACTGCAAGCCATCCACATCTCATGGCTGCTCGGCAGAAGACGGTGCAGTAGGACTGCTAGCCATCCTCATCTCTTGCCTGCCTAGCAGAAGATGGTACAGTAAGACTGCTAGCAATCCGTATCGCCTGCCTGCTCACCATAAGATGGTTCAATAGGACTGACTGCAGGACTAAAGAGAATGACCTGGTCAAGTCACTCCAAATTTAGTCCCTGCGCCCATGTCTACCCAGGCACTCCTGGCTGACGTGGCCAGGAGCACCTTGGACATGATGATGACTGCTACCAGTCGTACTGTACTGTCTGCTGCCACAAGGCAATGGGTTGATGCTGCTGTGTAGCAATGCAGTACCGCGTCTGCCAGCACCTAGGAGACATACGGTGACGGTTACCTGAGCGGGCTCCATGCTTGCCATGGTATGGCGTCTGCACAGGTAACTCAGGAAAAAAGGCGTGAAACGATTGTCTGCCCTTGCTTTCACGGAGGGAGGGAGGGAACGGGGGCCTGACTATATGTACCCAGAACCGCCCGCGACAATGTTTTAGCCCCATCAGGCATTGGGATCTCAACCCAGAATTCCAATGGGCAGCGGAGACTGCGGGAACTGTGGGATAGCTACCCACAGTGCAACACTCTGGAAGTCGACTCTAGCCTCGGTACTGTGGAAGCACTCCGCCGAGTTAATGCACTTAATGCACTTAGAGCATTTTCTGTGGGGGGACACACACTCAAATATATAAAACTGATTTCTACAAAACCGACTTCTATAAATTCGACCTAATTCCGTAGTGTAGACATACCCATAGAGTTGGTTCAGTTTTCCCTCTGAAAGAAAATCAGGGGAAGGTAGGGCTGGAAGGGCCTTCAAGAAGTCATTAAGTCTATTGCTCCATGCTGAGGCAGGACCAACTAAATGTAGACCCTCTGTGACAACTGCGTTTTCTAATCTGTTTTTAAAAACCTCCAATGGTGAGGTTTCCACAGCCTCCCGTACCTACCCATACTGGTATAAAAAGGAAAAGGAGTACTAGGGGCACCTTAGAGACTAACAAATTTATTTGAGCATAAGCTTTTGTGAGCTACAGCTCACTTCCTCGGATGAGCTTATGCTCAAATAAATTTGTTGCGAATACAGACTAACACAGCTGCTACTCCGATACTGGTAGAAAGTTTTTCTTAATAGCTAATCTATATCTCCCTTGCTGCAGCTTAAACCAGTTTTGTGTTTTCCTACCTTCAGTAAATATGGAGAAAATTGATCACCCTTCTCTTTATCGCTCCCTTACCATATTTGAAGACTATTATTAGATCCTCCTTCGTCATCTCTTTTCAAGACTAAACAAACCCAGTTTTTTAACCTTTCTTTCTCATCCTTTTTCATAGTTGTGTGTTGCTAGACTCTCTCTAATTTGTCCACAGTTTCCTAAAGTGGGGGCTGAGACTTGGACCCAGTACTCCAGCTGTGCCCCCACTGGTATCAAGTGGAGCAGGACAATTAGCTCTTCTGGCTCAGATACACCCCAGAATATTAGTTTTGGTTTTGTAGCTATATCACATATTATATTCAGTTTGTGATCTATCACCCCAAATTCCATTTCAGCAGTACCCCCATTTATGGAGATATACCTACCTCATAGAGCTGGAAGGGAGCTTGAAAGGTCAGAGAGTCCAGTCCCGTCTTCACAGCAGGACTAAATACCATCCCAGATCCCTAAATGGCCCCCTCAAGCATTGAACTCACAACCCTGGGTTTAGCAGGCCAATGCTCAACCACTGAGTTAGCCTTCCCTCTAGCCAGTTCCTCCCCAGTGTGTAGTTATGCATTTGATTTTTGTCTTCCTAGGTGAAGTACTGTGCCCTGGTCTTTATTTAATTTCATTTTGTTGGCTTCAGCCCAATTCTCTCATTTGTCATCATCATTCTGAAGTCTAACCGTGTCCTCTAAGCTGCTAGCAATCCCCTCACAGCTTGGTGTCATCTGCAAATTTTGTAAGCATATGCGCTTGTCTACTTTGTTAATGAAAATGTTGAACCGCTCCTGGCAGGACCCCACGGCGTACACCGTCCCCGTTTGACGGCAGGCCCTTTAATACAAATTCTTCATGTGGATTTCATGTGGTTAGTAGTGCAGCGCCTGTCACGTTCCGCTGAGCCCGGGAGCTGGGTTTCCCCGGGCTGGGCGGATGCGTGGCGTGGCGGAGGGATTCCCTCCCCTGAGGCAGCTCCGCTTTGCGGTGACGTCTTCGCAGAATTTCCCCCGCTGGGCAGAGCCTGAAAATCCCCCCACTTGCGAAGGGCTGGGGTGGGGGAGGGCGCGTCTCTCGCTTTCCTCCCCCGCCGGTACAGCGCGGAGCAGGCAGACCCCCCGCCCGCCGCACGGCGGCTGCCCTCGCGGACGCTGAGCCCCCCGGGTTCTGCTCGCCTGTACCCGCGGCCCCACGCAGCAGCGGCTGCGCTCCCCGCCCCCTGGGAGGCTCCGCCCCTCCTGCGCTCGACCCGTTCCGCAGGCCCCCCACCTCCACCCCTGCATCCCCATGTTAAAGGGCTGCTGCGTCCGGCCCGCCACTTGTCTTCCGGTTAGCTCCTCCCCTCAGGTGCGGCCTCCGCCAATCCGGGGCGGCTTGTTGTGTCACACGTCGGGGGTGACGCGCCGCGCGTCCTGGGAGGGGGCTGCTCCGCACCGGAAGCGCGAGGCCCCCGCCGGGTGCTCGGCCGGTGTCATGAGTCCCTGAGGCCGGCGCGCGCCGGGCTGCCTCGCCATGGGGGTCCCGATCCCTTTAGTCCCCGCCAACGAGAGCCTGAGCCTGACGGCCCGGCCTGGCCGCCTCGCCGTGTCCTCCTCGGGCGCCGGGCCCGGGGACGGCTACCGGGGCTGCGAGAACGGGGCCCTCATGGACAGCTTCGGCATCTTCCTGCAGGGGCTCCTGGGCGTCGTGGCCTTCAGCACCCTCATGCGTGAGTGACCCCTCCCCCTTCCGGGCCTGGCTCCGCGACCTCTTCCTCCTCAGGGCTGGCCTCCCTGGCGCAACCCCCGTCCCCGCCTTGGGAACGAGCCCTCCCCGCTCCGGGGCCGGTGTAACGGCAAAAACGGCAGCCGTCCATTTTTCCTACCCGTAGCCGTTACCGCCATGTAAGTCACAACACTGGCCTCCCCGGCACACCCACCCGCCTCGTGGCAGCGACCCTTCCCCCTTCCGGGAACCTCCTGCCCTCCCCCATGTGTGATTTCGAGGACCCAGATGTCCTGATCCCCTTCTCACACCCCATGTGTGTGAGAGTGACTTTTGAGACCCAGACCTGGTTCCTCTCCCCTTCCCTCCTTGTTCTGTCTCCTTCTCTCCCCCTATCCAGAGCCTGGTCTGGTTTGGTGTATCACCTTTTCCATGAGTGAGACTGTCTCCGGGAACACTCGTGGCACCAGGGTCTAGCCTGGGTTCCCCCTCCATCCCTCAGGCAGTGCTTACACACCCATTACCCTCTTATGTGAGTGACAGCCCTTCCCCACAAACACCAGGGATGCCCCTGCCCTGGCTCTTCTCCCATCTAGCGTCCCCTGGCATAAATGTCTCTCCACAATTGGGGTCTGGGTCGGGTTTCCTATCCTTTCCCCTTCAAACAACCACTTTCTCCTTGTCCTCATCCATCAGCCTCATGCATCAAAAATGCATGTATTTCCTTATTATACTAAAAACATATATCACTGGGAGTAAAAAGCTTGAAAAATCCTGCTTTCCTGGTGCTGTTAATGCTCACTTTATTTCTTGTATTTCTGTTTGCTTGTATAAAGGAAATCAATACAATCAGTGTCACTTGTTTAGATTGAGTCTTGTTTTTGGGTTCCGTTTTGCAATGCTTGGGTGACAATGTCCCTTTAATCAGTTGCACCGGCATAATAATGTGCTTTGTGAGGGGGATTTAAAATCTGGTCAGACTCTTTTCCAATCTAAAGAGTCTTTTATATGCTGTTGTCATGATTCTGTGAATATAAGGCAGGGGTCGGCAACCTTTTAGAAGTGGTGTGCTGAGTCTTCATTTATTCACTTTAATTTAAGGTTTTGCGTGCCAATAATACATTTTAATGTTTTTTATAAGGTCTCTCTATAAGTCTGTATATTAAATAACTAAACTATTGTATGTAAACAGGTTTTTCAAAATGTTTAAGAAGCTTCATTTAAAATTAAATTAAAATGCTGATCTTACACCGCTGGCCCGCTCAGCCCATTGCCGGTCTGGGGTTCCGTTCACCTAGGCCGGCAGCGGGCTGAGCGGGGCCTGCGGCCGGGACCCTGGCTGGCCAGGGGCCGGCAGCCAGAACCCCAGACTGGCAGTGGGCTGAGCGGCTCAGCCCGCTGCCGCTCAGCCTGCTCTCGGTCTGGGGTTCCATCTGCCGACTCCTGCCAGCCAGGGTCCCGGCTGCCGGCCCCGCTCAGCCCGCTGCTGGTCTGGAGTCCAGGTCTTGTCCACATAGAGTAGGTACCCACCTTCTCCCTAGTTCTAGCCATTCTCTTTCTCTCTCTGCACTGAGATGAGGGTGGGAGTGTGCTGAGAACAGGGCTGGGTGTGAAGGAGCAGCCTGGGGGTTGGGGTGCAGGGTCTAGCCAGGAGCTAGAATGAGGGAGGGGGCTCAGGGTTGGGGCAGGAGGTTTGGGTGTGGAGCGCTTATCTGGGCATCTCCCATTTGGTGTGAGGGGTGCAGGTGGGAATGTGTGTGTGGGGGTGTGTGTGCAGGAGCTCCTGTTTGGTGCCAGGGGTGGGAGTGGGGATGTGGGGGGTGCAAGAGTCAGGGCATAAGGTGTGGTGGGGCTGGGTGTGTGTGAGGAGGGGAGGATTCAGGGCAGGGGGCTGAGGGGGTGTGAGGAGGGTATAGGAGTCAGGGCAGGGGGCTGGGGTCATGGGGGTACTCCCTGCCCTGAGCAACTCACGGCAGGGGCTGGAGGGGATATGCCCTGAATTCCACCCCATTCCCCAAGGTCCCCGGAGCAGAGAGCGTGCTGCAGCTCTGCTTTTACCTCTCCTGCTTGTAGCAAGGGCCATCAGCTGATCAGCCACAGGGAGGGAGAGAGAAAGAGGGGCAGGAACCCAGCATGCTGGGGGAAGAGGCGGGGGGAGGGGGAAGCTTGCCTGCCCTGCAAGGAGAAGGCTGGGGGGGGTGGGGGGGGCGCGGAAAAGAGCGGGCCGGGTCTGGCAGATAGCAGCGTGCCGTTAAAAATTGGCTCGAGTGCCGTTTTTGGCATGTGTGCCATAGGTTGCCGACCCCTGATATAAGGGATGGTGCCACCGTTTACTGCCTTCTCCTCTTATTTGTGTTAGCCAATTTTTTCTTCAGTACTGTATGCAGAAAATGCCATCACTGGTTTCCTTTTTAAATACTGACAATTTAGCGGAGTTTTTCACAGAAGCTGTATGTCCATTTGTGCTTGCATGTGCTTCTGTTTAATGTAATGTGTAATAGTGATTGAAGTGTGTTTCCTAATTCAGCACGAAGTGATCTCTTCTCCAAAGAACAAATTACACTTCCCCCAAAAGTTGGTATTTCATACCTAGAATTTAGTCTTCTTCCTTTCCACTCTGGTGTGTAATAGTTTCTTTTTTTCTATTTGACCTACTAGATAAAGAATCTTGGTCCTATATTTGTCTGAAGAAACCTACCGCAGCAAGATACTAAATAAATGTTTGCACTAGCAGTTTTTAAGATTAGCTTCTGAACAGCTGTTGTAATGCAGAAGAAGAAATTGCTTACAAATGAAAATGGGGCAGTCACTTCAAGCTGACATCTTGTGGTCATTGAGGCATTGGGTCTTGATGTAGTGACACATGCAGTCTGCTCTGAGACTATTTTGTTTGCTTGTCAAATGTATATTTCTCATTCAGGTGAGGGGGAAAAAAGCTGTAGATAAGCGCAGGTTAGAAATCATTTGTTTAGTACTCGTGTGCCTTCATTTTTTGCATGTCTTAAGTTTACCCATACGCTAGAAAGAATGATTTACTTCACTCTTGCAGTAATATTCACATTTTCACATATGTAGCACTACTGACTCTGAATGACTTCCGTTGGAGTTAAAGCACTCAACACCATGCAGGATTGAGCTTTGCAGGTTGTTGTGAGTACTCTCTTAAAATTCTGAGATTTCTGTTGGCATTCAAGATTAGAATCAAATCTAGAAAGAGCACTTCAGTATTACTGAGAATTACTGTAAGTGATAGACTGAAGACATTTCTAAGTGACCAATGAAACATAGGTGATGGTTTATTGAAATTTATCATATTCACTGGGAATTGATTGGAGCTGCAAACTTTCCAGGTTTAATAATTATGAATAAGGCTATATTTTAGTCATGGGTATTTTTAGTAAAAGTCATGGAAAGGTCACAGGCTGTAACCAAAAATTCACGGCCTGTGACCTGTCCATGACTTGTACAATATACCCCTAACTAAAATTTGGGTACTCCATGCGGGAGAGGAGGGGGATGCCACGGGTGCTCGGGTGGTGGGGGGAGAGGGTGGCCCGGGGGGCGCCACGGGTGCTGGGGTGGGGGGCGTAGCCCAGGGGCACTAGGGGTACTTGCGGTGGAGGGGGGGGGGAGGATTGACAGGGCTGGCAGGCTCCCCACCCAGTTCTGCGCAGCTCCCCGGAAGCTGAACATGTCCCTCGGCTCCTAGGTAGAGGTGTGGCCAGGGGGGCTCCGCGCACTGCCCTCACCCTGAGCGTCGGCTCCACAGCTCCCGTTGCCCGGGAGCCACAGATAAGTGCTGCCCAGAGCCCTCACCGCCTCCTGCACCTCAACCCCCTGCCTCAGCTCAGAGCGCGCTCCCACACCCAAACTCCTGCTGCTGCTGCTCGTGGGAGGGTGGATATGGTGGCCTGAGACTGCCCCAGCAGTGGCTGGTGTGGCTGGCCCTGGGACTGTCCGAGGTGCTCAGACAGCCCCCAGGCCAGCTGTAGAAGTCACGGAATCCATGGCCTCTGAGACAGACTCAGAGCCTTCATTATGAGTCCTTAGCATACTGCTCTGGTATGCTGCCAGATGCTGTACTAGGCTTCTGTGGTTTTCTCAACAATTTCTGGAGAATTAAAAAGAAAATTCTATCCCTTATGTTTGTGTGGGGCATAACAGATGCAATGATGTCTGAGTCTTCAGATAAACAACAATATTTCTGACATCTGATGTGTCCTAATCTTCTCAACAAGATTCTACTTCTGAGACCTGAGGTCTCAGAAAATGTATCTTTAACTATTTCTCTCATCATTTGGACAGTATTACATATTGAAATATATATTGAGTGGGAGAGTGAAGCATGCTATAGCACAGAGGTGGGCAAACTATGGTCCACGGGCCGGATCCGGCCTGTCAGGGCTTTGGATCTGGCCCATGGGATTGCCGCAGGCCCCACGCCGCTCTGAGAAGTGGCCAGCACCAGTCCCTGTGGCCCTGGGGGAAGGGGGGGGGGGCGCAGAGGACTCTGTGTGTTGCCCTTGCCTCCAGGCACCACCCCCTGCACCTACCATTGGCCGGAAACGGGGACCTGTGGCCAATGGGAGCTTTGGGGGAGGTACCTGGAGGCATGGCAAGAGCAGCATGCGGAGCCCTGTGGGCCCCCCCCTTCCCCCAGGGGCTGCATGGGGACATGGTTCCAGCCGCTTCCCAGAGTGGCATGGTGTAGGACCGGGGCAGGCAGGCATGGCATGGAGCCTGCCCTGGCCACGGTGTATGCCGCTGCCACCCCGGAGCCACTTTAGGTAAGCGGTGCCAGGCTGGAGCCCGAACCCCTCCTATACCCTGCCCCCCCAACTCCCTGCCCTAAGCCCCCTGCCTGCACCTCGCACCCCCATGCACCCCAACCCCCTGCCCTGAGCCCCCGCCGCACCCCAGTCCTGAGCTCTCTCCTGCAGTCTGCACTGCTTCCCTGAGCCCCCTTCTGCACCCCAATCCCTTCCCTGAGCTCCCTTATACAAC